AGGGATCGAACTCATGTGGAAGTGGCTTAAGCTTCTTAGTGCAGTGCTTTAACCCGCTGCGCCACCAGGGAGGGCCCCCACAGTTCTTTTATTGACCTGATGACATCTGAGCTGCTGTTATCTGCTTGGAGTTAGCAGAGTTTCCAGCTGTGCCAGAGGGCAGTTGGAGGAGCCAGGACCTCGGCAAGCCCTGCCAGGAGAAGCCTGGCGTGTCCAAGATGCCCAGGCCTCAGAGTCTATTCCGCAGCCCCCAAGTTGGCCCCCTTACCCCTTTGTCCAGATAACCAAGGATATGGGGGATAGCTGATGTGGCAAGCCACACAACAGTCTGACCAGAAGCAGCCTCCACTCCTTTGCTGCCAGGCTCTTCTGGGGTCCCTGCATGTCATCCCTGGTGGGACCCATGAGGAGATCCACATGGCACAGCAGACTCCTCCTGATCATCCCACTGCTCTCCTCAGCAGTGTACTTCTTCATAATGCCTGTTCTGCTCCCCACTCTGTCTCTGGTGAATCCTATCACTGCCCCTGCATCTCTGGCCTTTACTCCGGTTCTGTATGTATGTATAAATAAATAAATCTTTAAAAAAAAAACATGAAAAAAAATCATTCTCACCTTCTGGACATTGTCCTTCCACCTCCACATTCAGGGTGGGAAGTTAACAACCTGTGAATACCCCAGCTTATTTGTACTATGGTGTGAGCTATGTGGACATTGAGAACCTGTAGGGCTCATGGACGAGGGGTATTCAAATTGTGCATGTAGGGTGGACTTCCTGAAAGAGGTGACCATGGGATCAGTTATTGAGTTGGCTAGAATAGGGAATAGAGGTGGGAGAAGAGAAGTTGCACTCAGAAGAAGCATGGGTGAGAAACATCCCGTGGGAGTGAGGAGTAGGGGGTTTCTGAGCAGTTCAGAGCAAGGAGATCCAAGTTAGGGGAAGGGTGCTGGAACATGGAGACTTCTCACCCCATGACCTTTATGCATCAGACCCTCTCCTGAATGTTTAGTATCTGGAGGATTCCTCCAAAGACCCCATAGGAACTGACCCTGTGTCCTGACGACTCAGGAAGGTCCCATGAGCATCTCAATGGCCACTGGATAAGACACTAAGGCCCCAAGGCCGAAGGAAGCATGAAAGGAATGTCTGTAAAATCTTTGGATGGACGTTCTCACACTGGTTCTCATCCAGTCTTTATCTGTGGCTTTCAAACCACTTCTTCCTTGGGTCATAGATATGTCATATGGTTCCAATGGGCTTTTTAACAAAAATACCATAGTGGCTGATTTATAAACAGCAGGAATTCTTTTCTTGAGCACAAGAAGGCCAATGTCAAAACATGTGGTGCCTTCACGACTTATTTCCTACATGACATCATTTTGCTGTAAATTTACATGGCAGAAAGAAGAGGAGCTTTCTTGGACCTCATTTTTAAGTGCATTAATCCCATTCATGAGAGCTCCACCCTCATGACATAGTCACCTCCCAAAGATTCCCCCTATCTTCTAATATCATAACCTGGAGGTTTAGGATTTCAACATGTGAGTTTGCAGGGGAGACAGATGTTCCGCTTGCAATCACTCCAAGTGGCAGCCCAGTGGGCCTGACCCTGTGTGTTTACAGATTCATCAGCAAACCATGGGTATCTAGGGACTCCCAGGGGCCCTTGGTCTCTATCCCTGTGTCACTCCCATTATCATATGTCCTTACTTTCACCTCTGTCTGGCTTACACTTAAACGAGGAATGCCCATGAGCACAGCCAGAGGCCAGAATCTAGTACCATTTCATAAAAGTCAAAGACTGAGGGGCGCCCCACAGCCAGACAGACTGAGTCATTTGGACTCTGCTTTAGGACTTCTGCTATTCTCATTCCCTTGCCCTGGCATAGACCCCCATCTAGTAAATTAATTCTGGACACCTCAACTGTGTGTCGGCATTGCTCATCCCTTTCGGCTGCTGGGAAAGAAGAGGCTTTGGACCAACTGAATGGCCAGTTTTGAGTTGGTGCAGGGTCAACTCTGTAGCTCTGTAATTGTCATTTTAACACAAGTAGCTTTAATAATGAATGAAAATATGCTTGTTGTATTAAAAAAGTACATCTGAACAGTGTATAGATATATGTGTATTCTAAACACACATAATACATGTTCTGCATGCTTACTGTAAATCTATCTATGGGTATATAAAATAGTACAAACATTCATAGAAGAATGAATAAAAGTACCTCTTTGCACCCACCCCACCCCTTCCCCAGAGGAAACTTCTGTCCGTTGTGAGCTTGCCAACATTTTTTCCTTGCATTTACCTTTGTGAATTACACAATAAACAGTGTCTGCAAAGTCATACATTTATAGTACATTTCTTTCCATAAAGAGAATTATATAAATATCCAACTTTCACCGATCTCTGATTCTTTTCCAGCCTTTTTAACTGTAGCTGAATATGTACATACAATACATTCAGGATGTAACATTCTGTTCTGCTAATGATAGAGATTTGGTTTATTTCCCTTTTTCTTGTTACAAGCAGCACTGGGTGAATCTCTCTGGTCAGACCTTTTAGTAATGGGAATTGATGCTGTTAGCAGAGCACCCAAGGATTGGAATAATGGGATCTGGGATAAAACCCACAGAACATTTTAGTGGCCCTGTACCCACTGTCACCGGCAGGTATGGGGGCACTGGTTTCACAGCTTCCCTGTACTACTACTAAGACAAGATTTTCTCCTCCCTGGGGACATGGGGACTCATGACCCATTATTGTTTTGTGTTTCTCTGTGTGCGAATAACATTGGCATCTTTGATATGTTTATTGGGCCATCGGTATTTATTTTTCTCTAACTAGCCTGCTCATATCCCATAGTGATTTGTTAGTTATAGGAGCTCTTTGGCACTTTGGATGTTAATAATTTGTCAGGTATGTTAAAAACATTTCCCTCTGAGAGGAGTGCTTGCCTTTTACCTTTGTGTACAGCATGCTTTTGCTAAAGAGGAGTTTTGAATATTTAGGTGAATTTGTAGAAGAAATTATGGAAGTTAAGTGGATTTAGAATGATGATTGGGCCTTGCTTTACTGCTGTTCAAATATTTGTATATATTATGGTGATTAGTAAAACATTCCAAATATAAATAATTCACGGGCACAGTTTTTCCCTCAGTTGGTGGGTGCTAAAAATGAAATTGTTTTGTGTAGGGAGCTCCAGAAATTCTGTGAACCACAAAGAGCATGGAAAGATTAGGGACCGCTGACCCAGACGATACACTTACATTTGCTTATAAACAGTTGATAAAGTATATGAATCAGGACAAATTTGGTTGAAAGTAACTGAAACCCAATTCAAATTAGCTTAAGCAAAGAGGACTTTCTCAGCGTTAACTGGGACAGCTAAGAGAGCTTCCGACTCAACTTAAAGGGTGGATATCCTCAGGTCTCTCTGTCTCTATGGTTGGTTCCTTTTGTTCGTTGATCTGGTTTGTCTTTACTTAGTACCATTCTCTTCACTGTATTCAGAGGTTGTCCGTGGAAGGACGAGATGACTGGGCAAACCCCTAGTCTTCATTCATTCCTAGACATCAGCATCCAGAAGCTGGCGTAGCCCTCCCCTAATGTCTGTCCATCACCTCCCTCAAGGGAAAGGAGTTCAGTTGCCTGTCGCTGTCCTCACTGGCTCCTGGCACATGTCCCCCTGCCAGCAGGCAGGGCGACTGTGACTGACAGTTCATCCAGAACCACAGGGGGAGGGGCAAGTGTGGGCCACCAGCGGAAAAGGGGGCAGTATATGGACTGACATAACACTGCTGGGCCATGTATGGTATCTAGAGGAGCAGGGTGGAGGGAGAATCACTGGGAGGCTGGGGGCAGCGGGGGGGGGGGGGGGGGGGCGGGGGGGAGGTAAGGGGGGGCCTTGCCTGGAGGCAAAGGAGTGAGCTGGAAGTAGGTTTCTGTCCACCATGTATGGCTTCGTGCCTCCACCTCCCCCTGGCCTTGGCTCTCATCTCTACTAAGTGGTCCTGTGAGCATTAGTTGAGCAGGTGCCTATGCTCGGGCTCTGGGCCCCAGATGGCACCAGGCAGATGCTACTACATGAGATACGTCAGACACACTTTGTAGCCATTCAGTAGGTGATGGTTTCCTCCTTACAATTTACAGAATATAAAGGGAGTTGAGAGCAAAGTCCTCCGATTTCATAAAGTTGGTGAAGGCCTTTGTCAGGAATGGCCCACCAGAGTGGCTTCATAATTATTGGTGAGGAGAAGGCAGTGCAGAAAGAGACAGGACACAGTGGGGCTTATGGAACGGTTGGTGAATGAGAACCTGAATTTTCGCTATGTTTGCATGCAACCGAACTCTGAGGTAAAGAATAGTAAGTCACTTCAGTGACCTGCTTTGCTTCCTTACAGTCCACCTGATCCCTGTCTCAGCTGCTAAGAATGGAGTGAGTAGCAAGAGTCGAAAGAGGATCATGCCCGACCCAGTGACGGAGCCCCCTGTGATGGACCCCATTTACGAGGCTCTCCTGTATTGCAACATTCCGAGTGTGGCTGAGCATAGCATGGAAGGTAAGCCTGGCCTGCTGCCTGGCTCAGGGCTCAGCCAGACACCCTTTGGGGACTAGTTTTTTTGAGCAACAAAGTGCAGTGGCGAGGAGTGACTTAACGGGCTGTGACATTGAGGGCATCCCCAGGTCTCAGCTTCCTTAGCTGTGAGATGAGAGTACCTACAGAACTACTCTCAGGGAGCAGTAAGTGACTGCTTCGGCCAGCATGTACGTCAGCACGTGGTTCCACAAACTTTTGTCATTACCATGGTTTTTACTGAGACAGCCCCAAAATGGAAGGGCGGCCTGAGTGGGTTCAAGAGCATCATCACCCTCGGCTACCCCCTTCAAGGTATGCTCTCTCCAAGGCCTCGGGACATCCATAGTTTGCCCTGCTGCTCTGGGAAAACATGATCACTACTTTGAGATTTGCTTCCTTTGGAAGTGTTTCAGGAATGATGTGGAATATCTATTTGTGCCTTGTTTGCTTCATGAGAGCTTTAAGCAGTCACTGTTTCTAGTATTTCTGTGTGCCCCCATTGATGTCATGCCCACCTTTCCCTGGTGACCTGCTCCCAGCCATCATCCACTGCCACCCCCTGAGTCTCCTGGTGACTTCTAGAGGCCTGGGACATGCCAGCCCTCCCTTGTGAGGCTATGCAGAGCCCCTCCCCCCTCCTCACCTTCTTCATACCCCACCTCTGCAGAGTGAACAGGAGCGACGTCACTACCTGATAACTGGTTGTGCCTCTCTCCCACAGGTCACGCCCCACATCATTTTAAGCTGGTCTCAGTCCATGTGTTTATTCGACATGGGGACAGGTATCCACTGTATGTCATTCCCAAAACCAAGAGACCAGAAATTGACTGCACTCTGGTGGCAAACAGGTAAATTGCACTTTTTCTCAAAGTCATTTTCCAGACTGCTGTGTCCCACCCAGTCTAAGTGCTGACAGAATTTTACAGTAGGGAAATGACCCACATTTACTGACAAGTACTATTTGCCAGGAGCCTCGTCTTCAGAGCAGCCCTCCATCTTAAGGCCATGTTCGGTCAAGATGGCCCAGAGAGGTGAAAACACCTGCATAAAGCCACACAGCAGGTAAAGTGAGAGTTAAGTCTAGGCCGATCAGATGCCTTCTCTCCTGCCCTGCTGTTTTTCAGTGAGAAGCAGTGGGACAGGGTATAGTGAGCACTGGCTAAAAGTTCTTAGGCCTGGCTCAGCTGCTCCATTCTGGGAGCAGGTAAGTCCTGAAGTCTCTCTGAGCCTCAGTCTCCCCACTCTAAAATGAGAATGATGCTGCTAACAAAACAGGGTTGGAGTGAGAATAAGGGAGATGATAGAGAGGAATATACACTATCAATTGCAGAGCTTTATAAACATAAGGTATTCATTGGCCTTTTTAATTTGTCACGGGAATAGAGACAGCCTGTTCTGATTGAAAGCCTTTAGAATGAAAAATGGGTGAACAGAGAGTAGAAACTGTACCTATGGAAGTGGCATACCTCCAAAACTAGAGGAACAGTTCTAATAAAATGCCAGACCAGGCCTCAGCCAGCGTGTCTAGGGGCACATAACCTCCCCAGCAGTTTCTGAATGAAGAGAGAAGTGCTCAGTGGGGAAGATGTTATTTTGATGGACTGCTTCTTGGTGCCAGTTTGCCCAGGAGGGCCAGGACTGTGGAAGCATGGATCATCTCATGGATCATCTCCCTGCAGCCAGGACTGTTCCTTGAGTGTGTACTGTGATGGAAGCCCAGGAGTTTTCGGCTTTGCACCTCAAGCCTTCTCATTGTTTGGTATCAAGGGGAAGATGACCTGAACCATTCTCTGTAAAGACATCATGAGATACTGGGATACTGTGTGGCTATCAGCTTTCATACACTTTTATTTTTCTGCTGGAGGTCCCAAAGCTCTCAGCCTAGATGTTTGTGCCCTTCCTGTGCTTGGCAAACTCAAGTACGCTGTGACAAAGGAGCAGGGAGGAGACAGAAGGAGAAAGGAGAGTGGGGAGAGGAAGGAAAGTCTCTAATAAATGGTATTGAGAAAGCTTGACACACACATGTAAAAAAAAAGACCACCTTCTCACACCATACACAAAAATCAACTCAAAATGGACAGATGACTTGGATATAGGACATAAAAGCATAACATGCATAGGACAGGCAGAACACGCCATGACATAGGGTTCAGTGCTGTCTTTCTGGATTTGTGTCCAACAGCAAGAGAAGGAGAATACCCACAGTTGGGATTACATCAAACTCAAAAGTTTCTGCACTGCAAAAGAAACTATCACTAAAAAGACACCCTACTAAATGGGCAGAAATATTTGCACATCATACTTGACAGGGGCTGATAGTTAAGACCTAGGAAGAACTCATACAACAAAACAAAACGAAAGCAAATAGCCGAATCTACAAATGGGGGGAAGTACTAGCAGGCACTTCTCCAAAGAAGATATACAGATGCCGAGGGGCACATGAAATGTTTACCATCACTTATCATTGGGGAAGTGCACATCAAAACTACAATAAGAGGCCATTTCACACCCATGAGAATGATCCATATCAAAAAAACCAGAAGCAACAAGTGTTGAGTTAGGTGAAGAAAAAGGAACTCTTGTACTTGTTGGTGGGAGTATGGACTGGCCCAGCCTTTGTGGAAAATAGTATGGCTATTTCTCAAAATATTAAAAATAAGTCTTTCATATGATCCAACAACTACACTCCTACATATCTAGCAAAGAATTTAAAAAAAAAAAAAAGCACTAATTCAAAGGGATATTTACACTCCTGTGGTCATTGCAGCATTTACAGTAGTCAAGATCTGGATCCGGCTTAAGTGCCAAAGACAGATGAGTGGATTAGGAATATGCGGTATCTACACAGTGGAATATTACTCAACTATAACAATATATCTACTCTTTGTCAATTGCTATAACATAGATGGAATGAGAGGGAATTGCACTAAGTGACATAAGCCAGAAGGAGAAAAACAAATACTTGATGAGGTTCCTTGTATGTAGAATACAAAGAAACAGAACAAAGACACAGATAAAACCAACCCAGTAACAAACCTTAGAAATAGGACTGTAGAATTTAAGCTACCAGAGGAGGAGGGGACATAGTGGATAACAGTGGAGGGCTATAGGAATGTTGTTTGTGTGTGTGGTGTGGTAACTTCACCTGAAGGGTGTGGCGCTGTATTTTTAAATCTTATAGTGTTGTCCAACTGTGTTATCTCAATTAAAAAAAAAAAACATGTAGGGAGGAGCTAGCATGTTAATTTAGAGGGAACAAATTTGAATTCTTGTTTTTAAAAAAATGGGTGTGTATATCCTAGTGATGTCATTTTTTGGAGTTCAGGGTCCTTGGGTTCACTCTGGGAAAGGTTTCACCAGAGCTCCCCTTTCAGCAGCACACGATGAGTTTCTCCATGAGACAGAGACTCAGTTACATTTAAAGAGGAAGTTTATTAGAGAAAAGGACAGGAGTAATGGACACTTGTAAAGGCACAAGCAGGCAGGGAGAGATGCCCCGGAAGGGTCAGGTTTGCAGAGAGAAACCTGCATGGTTGCAGGCTGGCGGCCTTAGGAGAGAGACCTCCACTGAGGGAGGTCAGTTCAGGGAAGTCCCAGCATGGTGCAGGTCACAGGCAGGCAGGAGGCTGCTGCTCTGCGGAGAGTGAGAGCGGGTGGAAAGAAGCACCTCATAGTCACAGGTGGGCAGAGGACTGCTGTCACGTGCTGGAGCAGAGACTGCTCTGATATAGACAGCTTCTCCTGGGAGGGGCTCACTCCCTGTGAGCCTAGGTTTGTTGACTTTGAATAGGATCTGAAAGGACCAGAGATTCCCTAATGGGCTTCATTCCATGTCCTTATCTTTTACCTTTTGGGTCTGAGCTTTAGACATAGGCCCCAACAAACCTGTTACCTGCCGGGACCTCCCGCTCACATCCTGACACCGTGGCATTGCTGCCTAAAGACCTTGATTTTATGGCTGCGTCAACAGTCTTGATTTTTTTTTTTTTATAATATAGTAGTTTATTTTTGCATCATTTTGTACATTTTTTTTCCATCTCATTTGTAATCCCCGTGTTTCCCATCACCAAGTCACGTGTGTGCCATCACCATAGTCCCATGCACTTTCCTCCTCACCCCCCCATTTTTGATCCCATTCCCCACTCCACCCGCACAAAATGTCTCTGGTATATGGCTGTTCATTATTCTTATTATTTTCACCCCTGGTCCATTATACTCCTGCTATGAGTGAAACCATCCGGTATTTTTCTTTCTCTTTCTGGCTTATCTCACTAAGCATGATCTTTTCCAGCTCCATCCATGTTGCTGCAAAAGACATGTGTTGTTGTTTTTTTGATTGCTGAGTAATATTCCATTGTGTATATGGGGTCTTGATGTTTATAGCTATGTTAATGGCTATGCTGGCCCCTTCTATCCATCCCCCTTGTGTGACTCAGTCTTATGATGCCTCTCCCTGCTTTCCTTCCTCCATCACTAGTGCCCCATGAATTGGAAAACACACTGGTCCCGTCCAGCCTTGCAGATCCTGGCTTTCTTCCTCTAGCCTCCAGCCTTTGTTGCCAGCCTTCCCACTGCTGCCTGCTGCCCCTGCCATACCCAGATCTTACTGGCCTTTCACCTCTTCAGGCCTTCACACCTGTCATTTGGCTTGTTTGTCCCATGCCTGCTTTGCCCACTCCTAAGACTCCAAGGATGTTGCCTCCTTGGGGAAATGTCTCTTGTATTAGGAGGGGTTATATTGAGTGCCAGCCCTGCCTTACTCAAACTGAAGGGGAAGGTTTTGAGAACTGTCTCAGACCTTCACTGGCCTTAGAATTAGGGCAAGGGTGAAAGCCATTTGCTGGGGCTGGGATTAACCATCCAGTTTCAATCTGTGTTCATCAGATTGTGTTTTTCTCCTGCGTAAAACACAGGCTGTAGTACAGGGTGGGCATCTTAGGTAAATGACTGCTTCATGGGGCTCAGCAGTTTCAGCTTGTAAACAGCTGGTAGGTTTTTGCCATCACACACTAGCTAATAGCCACCCTTGAAATATCCCAGGAATGGATGAGCCACTAGACCTGTAAACAGGGACCCAGGGCAGCCTCAGGGTCTTTTTGGACAGTACCATGTTACTACTCTGCCAACTTCCAGTTCCTATTCCTTTCTCTCACTGGGCTGCAAATTCCTAGGTGAGACCACCTACCACCCTCTTAACTTTCTGCTAACCTCAGTTCTGTCATCTATGTCCACTGCTTTTTTTTTTTAAAGATTTATTTATTCATACAGAACTGGGGTACAGGCCAAAGATGCGGAGGGTTTCACCAGAGACAGAGAGGGGAGCAGAACAGGCAGATCGACAAAGTACACTGCTGAGGGGAGCAGCGGGCGGGTCAGGAGAGGTCTGCCACACCATGTGGTTATCTCCGGGGCAGGCAGGAATCGAACTCATGCGGAAGTGGCTTAAGCTTCTTAGTGCTGTGCTTTAGCCGCTGCACCACCAGGGAGGGCCCTCCACCACTTATTTTTATTTTCTTTTTTCCATTCATCTGTTTTGTTTCCTTGTGTTGCATATATAAGTGGAATCATCCAATATTTGTTTTTCTCCTGTTGACTTATTTTGCTTCACATTTTCCCCTTGAATCCCTTCCATTTTGCTGCAAATGGCAAAATTTCCTCCTGGAAAAAAGTATTTATTTATGAGGGGAATGAGAATAGGGAGGACCAAGAGAAAGAGAAGATTACTTAGTCAACATGTGCTACCAGCAACACTGTCTGAGTTGAGAAACCAGGTTGCAAGTGACTGGCAAAATTCCATCTATTTTATAGTTGAATAGTATTCCATTGTGTAGACATACGCCACATCTTT